TCGTACTGTATTACAATAATATTCTATCCTATCATTAGCCTTATAATCCCACAACTGAAAACCATTCGAAAAGCGATTACGGTAACATCTTTTGAATGAAAGAAAGTGAGTCATTGCTTTCGTCACTTGCCACTGTAATACGTACATCATTTCAGCAAAAATATTACATTTCCATGTTCTCAGAAATAAATGGTAGTTTTGTTGAAACGTAATGGACAGTATTTAACATTAAAATGCAAAAATAGCTATAAAAACAATTAATACACCCGTAATGTACTGGCTGGCATCTCCACTCGTCCCTGCTCCCGCCAGTCACCTCCTCCCCGCTCTATCTCTCCGCATCGTCACTACTGTTGTATTACAATAATATTCTATCCTAATTGACTTGAATAAATACTACGATACCATATTTCTGAATATTTTCATTAAAATCCATCCAAATCATTTTCCTTGCCATCGTCTGCAGCACCAAACAGCTCCTCCCAGGCTTCTCTTTTAACAGGGCTAGAGGGTACGTGTTTTTCGAATCGTTTTCAATTAAAAAAATGTTACATCACACGTATATTTTACCTAAACTGCACCTGAATGAATATATTCTTGGAAATAAATAGTAATTTTGCTGAAACGTGATGTATTTCAATGTAAAATAGGATAAAATACATGACGAAAACAAAAGACTTCACCTAACCTTCCAATGTTCAAGAGATGTTACTCGTTTTTTTAATAGTTTTCGGTTAAAATACTGTTATATTACAATGATATTATATTCATACTGTGCTTGATATACTACATTCACAGAAATGAAATATTTTTGCTGAAATGACGTAAGTATTACAGTGGAATGTGGGACAAAATCGTGACAAAAACAATGACTTTCGCTTTCTTTCGTTCAAAAGATGTTACCATAATCGCTTTTCGAATGGTTTCAGTTAAAAAACTGTTGCATCACAAGTGAATTAGGATAGAATATTATTGTAATACAACAGTTTTTTAACTGAAAACCATTCGAAAAGCGATTACGGAAACATCTTTTGAGCGAAAGAAAGCGAGTCATTGCTTTCGTCACTTTTCACTGTAATACGTAAGTCATTTCTGCAAAATATTACATTTCCATATTCTCAGAAATAAATAGTACTTTTGCTGAAACATGATGTATTTCAATGTAAATTAGGATAAAATACATGACGAAAACAAGAGACTTTACCTAACCTTCCGATGTTCAAGAGAGGTTACTCGTTTTTTTAGTAGTTTTCGGTTAAAATACTCTTATATTAGTGATATTCTATTCATACTGTGCTTGATATAATACATTCACGGAAATGTATTATTTTTGCAACTACAATGCTGATGTCAACACAAGTGTGGTTACAGCGAGACTGACTGAGTGAGGGAGAGCTATGCGTGTGAGGTTGCGGGAGCGGGCGGTGTCCCGTGCCGCGCGCGAGTTGAATGGCGCGCGATTTGAATGTACTTCAATTACTTCAATGTACAGAATCTTCCTCTGGCGGGGCAATCCGCGTATTTGCGAATCCGTGAATGCTAAACCCGCGTATGTGAAGGGCCGACTGTATAGCAGTGTGAGTTTAGTCTAGCAGTGGGAGTTTAGTCTAGCATTGTGAGTTTAGTCTAACAGTGTGAGTTTGTGTTTTTCACTAATTAAAGTTGAAGGTGGAAGGAAGGGTGAAACACTAACCAGTAGTCTTAACTAATTTATTTTAGACATATCAAAAATATTGCACTCTGTGACAGTACAAAAATAGTTGACCTTCCCCAAGCAATTAAGGTCACTGTACCACACAAACCTTCTCCCATAAATTAAGGTCTCTTCTTCTTCATACAAAATAATTGACCTAAATACTATCAGTACACACACTTAACATTATACACAAACACACTGGAATAATACAACATACAACAGTACCTTGAATTCTCCCTTAATACTATCAGTACACACACTTAACATTATATACACACACACTGGTATAATCAAATTACCCCTTCTGAATGTTTACTGTTTTCTGTCACACTACCCAATAGAAAACTTAGATACTCCCTTAGTGCGGTGAGTGTGAACGTTATGCAGCTGTAATAAGAGTCACAAGAGATCATAAGGACCTGTACTACTGTATGCAGTACACAGTATTTACATAAAACTCTATATTCATGTCCACAAGTTTAATACCATTCTTGTAGCAATATATTTTAAAATGACATTGCTAGATAAACACATGTCAGTACTATTAGGAAAATTTGTATATAAGAACAGCAAGAATCTAAATACTGAATGTTAATTTAAACAAGTCTACTGGTTGACATGATCAAAAAACAGATTTAAAACCAGAGTTTGACATTTCAGCATTGGCTATGTTAAGAAAATGACTGCCCAAGGATGAATTTATATATAACCAAGAAGAGTTACCTAACTAAGGTACAGGCTGCTAACTGAACAATATATTAAACATGATATTATATACAGTTAAGAGGTGTTAAAGTTCATCTGCCCCATAACACCAGGTACTATATATGAACCCTAACCATTATTTACCAGACAATGGTACCATATATCTGTAAGTGATGAAAGAATATATTTAAAACATGAATCAAAACTACCAACCATTTTAGTCAAGATAAAATATCAAAATATCTCGTCAGAGTTGAGCAAAACTTATCAAATATTTACGTACAATTTCAACAGAGATTGAAGAGTTTCCGTGAGATAACGACAACACCTTGACTATAACAAATGGTCCACCACCACTGTACTACTTTACCAAGATGATTTACTGCCCGTGTTAATGTACGTACTTGTGATAAAACTTACGTCACGTGTAAATAAAGACAGACGTACACAGTTGACACAACTACTGATGCACAAATTATAATACAGTAAATGAGAGTTCATCAATGTTCAACAAAGCTTATCCAGTGAAGATGAAATTTTAAGCACATAGATGATAAGTTTAACCTTTGCTTACTACTGTACTGTAAATAACATTATTAAAAAGGCTGATGAAACAAAATGGAGTATTTTTATGAGTGATATTTAACCAACACCAAATGTCTACACTAAGGCCATGGTAGAAGAAATTTACATCTTAAGAGCAGATAATTATTACTTGTGCTTAATATCGATAAAAGTGGCATTTGTAACTTGTCTTTATTTCTGCTACATTCATAGAGTTTGTTCAAGTGGTTTTATATTGATGTATCAGGGCTGTGGAGTCGGAGTCGGAGTCGGAGTCGAGGAGTCGGAGGAAATTTCGGCTTGTGGAGTCGGAGTCGGAGTCGGTAAAATTGTCCAGACTCCGACTCCGACTCCAGAGATTGTAAAAGATGTAGCTAGAGCTGTGACAGCAATGCCACCCACTCATGTCAGTGTAGAAAGACTGTTTTCTGCACTGAAAATAATCAGATCAGATTTAAGGGCTTCCATGAAGGAAGATCTGACAGAAGCTATTCTGTTTCTAAGAACAAATATATGAACTCAGGCATATTCATTGCAGTGATTCCACTGATCCCACTAATTTTCTTAAATTATTAAAAGAATTTATTTCCATTTTATAAGCATTATTATGAATTTATTGTAGCAGGCACAGTATAGCACTATAATTTTGGACGATAGTCTCTTCTTTACCATTTGAAATTTTGAATTATATCAAATTTTGTTTCGTTGAAAACTGCACAGAGGCTCTCAGCTACAAAACAATTAGCTACAACCTGTTTTTGGTGAGATTAAGGCAAATTTAATTTAATAACTTAATCATGTAAGGTTTATCCATTTTCCTTAATAAGGTATTCATTTCTTTAATGTACATAAATATATAACTTTACTTTAAAAGGAATTGTAGGATCATCATTTAGATCCACATCAGATTATGAGCTTAAACAAAATTCATATGCTGAGATCGAACTTTTAGATATACATGTAAATGGTGTTTTCTAGTTAATATCTTGAATTCTTAATAAATTTATTTTTCTTTTGATTGAAACTTTGAAAGTCAAGCCTATCATCTTTTTGTAGTTCTTAAATATCGTCCAGATCATTAATAAAGCTGTAGCAGTATAGCCACGGTGTTTTACTTTTTACCTACGCAGGTTACAACATACAAATTACAATTAGGATGGTAGAAATAGTTGTTACAAATAGGCCAAGGAGTCGGAGTCGGAGTCGGAGTCGGAAGCATAAAAATTTGAGGAGTCGGAGTCGAAGGTTTTGTCTTCGACTCCACAGCCCTGTGATGTATATCACTGTATTCAAGTTTATGTGTCACATTTATCTTCTGTTAAAGTCATTCAAACATTTATTGAATTCTGTTATTTTCATGCACAAGTTTATGACATTTGAGATGACCCTTCTGGGAAAATCATTTCCCACATTCCTCACATTCAAACTCCTTTATACCACTGTGTCCAAGAATGTGTATTGTGAGATGACTCTTCCAGTTAAAACATTTCCCACATTCCTCATATTCAAACTCCTTTATACCACTGTGTCCATGAATGTGTGCATCTTGAGAGTACTTTTTTCTGCAAAATGTTTCCCACATTCAAACTCCTTTATACCACTGTGTCCAAGAATGTGCGTTGTGAGATGACTCTTCCGGTTAAAACATTTCCCACATTCCTCATATTCAAACCCCTTTATACCACTGTGTCCATGAATGTGTGTGTCTTGAGAGTACTTTTTTCTGCAAAATATTTCCCACATTCAAACTCCTTTATACCACTGTGTCCAAGAATGTGCGTTGTGAGATGACTCTTCCGGTTAAAACATTTCCCACATTCCTCATATTCAAACTCCTTTATACCACTGTGTCCATGAATGTGTGTGTCTTGAGAGTACTTTTTCTGCAAAATGTTTCCCACATTCCTAACATTTGAACTCCTTTATACCATTGTAAAGCCTGGGACTTTGGGATATAAATCCCTAGCCAGCCTAATCAGGATCTTATAAAAGGAAAGTCGAGAACCATGGAATTCCAAGGGGTAAAAAACAACAGTTCAGAGATTGACATCTCTTTACTACGAAAATAATAAAAAAAATTGACACCACTCACAAATACAAAATCACCAATTAAGGGAGTCAAACAATTAATGGATATTTCTTACGGCGGCAGCCTGGTGGAATGTTCCGTCGACGTGGTGGTCCGCTCTCAGGGGAAAGGTCCAGGGCAGCTTCCTCACTTGGCGTTGGTATGCGATGTCTTGCCACACAGGAGAGACGCCAGGGTACGGACAGTGGCTAGGGCGTGGAGGAAGTGGCAATGACGTGGCAGACGCTGTAGTAGCCGGGGTAGGTGTCCGGAGATTGACGGACGAATAGAGAAGGACTGGGGAATCACCCAATGATCTCCAGGAGCCTAAGATGAGCAGCACGCAACCAGAATTTGAACGAACAGCGGGGTGCAAGTACAGCTGTGTTGACGGCTGGGTAGTGTCTGATGTGTGACAAAGCAGCAGCGAACTTCTCACCTTCGTCTACCCCCCAGTGGGGGCCGAACAACCAAACAAGCGGAGGACAACCATCCTACTTGTTTCAGCCCTTACAACTATGTCCAAGAATGTGTCTCTTGAGATGACTCTTATGTGCAAAATGTTTCCCACATTCCTCACATTCAAACTCCTTTATACCACTGTGTCCAAGAATGTGTCTCTTGAGATGACTCTTATGTGCAAAATGCTTCCCACATTCCTCACATTCAAACTCCTTTATACCACTGTATCCAAGAATGTGTGTCTTGAGAGTACCCTTTTCTGCAAAATGTTTTCCACATACCTCACATTCGAACTTCTTTATACCACTGTGTCCAAGAATGTGTCTCTTGAGAGTACCCTTTTCTGCAAAATGTTTCCCACATTCCTCACATTCAAACTCCTTTATACCACTGTGTCCAAGAATGTGACTCTTGAGATGACTCTTCCGTGCAAAATGTTTTCCACATTCCTCACATTCAAACTCCTTTATACCACTGTGTTCAATAATGTGTCTCTTGAGAGCACTCTTACATGACAAATGTTTCCCACATTCCTTACATTCAAACTCCTTCATACCATTGTGTACAAGTAAATGTGTCTGAAGAGTAGACATAAAACAAAACTGTTTGCCACATTCCTCACAGGAGAACTTTTTATCTCTGCTTGACATTGTGAACTTCTACTTAGTTACACTTGGTCTTGAGATGTGACATCACAGAATCTGAAATAAAATATTTTGCCTTAGATAATATTCTTATAAAAATTACAATTTATAAATGAAAACTACAAGTGACTAAATCAACTTGTATAAAATGAAAACATTCTAAAAGTAATTACAAAGGTTTAATTTGAGCTAATGAAGGTTTATGACACATCATCACCCAGTGACGGACTGGCCTATTGGGAGTTTGGGCATATTGCCGATGGGTTTGTGAGCCAGTGGGCGAGTCGGTCTTAGATACATCTTAGTGAACAAAGACTGGACAACATCCAACATTTTGGTGACTATCATTATTTAGTATGGTGCACCTGATGATCTTTATAGCAGTAGAATCTATGGGGAAATAATGGTACTGTATTCATATTGTACACAATGAGAGCTCAGTTTAGACTCTCCTAATTCAAATACATCTCGGGTTTTCTAAGAATCTATAGCCCCAGTACTGTATAGTGTTAGGTGGGGAGGCGGTGCGGTCTCTCTTACTACAGTGTCTGGTGTTGGGTCGGGCCAAAGGTAATTGTACTCAAGAGGTTAAGTCAAGTAATCTACAGCTCTTCTTATGGAATATTTACTTGAATAATATTACAAATGATATCTCTCAACATGCATGAATAAATTCTCACCTTTTTCTGTACAAGTTATCAGTCAGTGTGTTATAACAGCCTGGGGTAGTCTGTGGCAGGTTATATCAGCCTGCGGTAGTCGGTGGCAGGTTATATCAGCCTGGGGTAGTCTCTGGCAGGTTATATCAGCCTGGGGTAGTCTCTGTTAGGTTATATCAGCTTGGAGTAGTCTCTGGCAGGTTATATCAGCCTGGGGTAGTCTCTGGCAGGTTATATCAGCCTGGGGTAGTCTCTGGCAGGTTATATCAGCCTGGGGTAGTCTCTGTTAGGTTATATTAGCCTGGGGTAGTCTTTGGCAGGTTATATCAGCCTGGAGTAGTCTCTGGCAGGTTATATAAGCCTGGGGTAGTCTCTGGAAGGTTATATCAGCCTGGGGTAGTCTCTGTTAGGTTATATCAGCCTGGAGTAGTCTCTGGCAGGTTATATCAGCCTGGGGTAGTCTCTGGCAGGTTATATCAGCCTGGGGTAGTCTCTGGCAGGTTATATCAGCCTGGGGTAGTCTCTGGCAGGTTATATCAGCCTGGGGTAATCTCAGTCTGGGGTAGTCTCTGGCAGGCTATATCAGCCTGGGGTAGTCTCCGGCAGCTTATATTTGTAGTTGACAAAACACAGATGATGACCAGGTAGTTGACTCAATCCTCACGACTGCCTGGAGTGCACAAGAAGGATACACCATTAATTTATAACTATTAAGTGAATATTCTGGGTATGACATACAGTAATACCCTGCTTTACTCGGTTCTCGTTTACGCTTTTCTACATTTACGTGGTACCAGGCCAGAACCGGAATTTCCACTTTACGCGGGGCATCTACTCATATACGCGGGTGAAGTATAATTTTTTTTTACTTAGCTCATAAAATTCAGACAAATTACCCGGCCAGAATATAATTTACATTGCTGGAATACTTACAATATGATGATCATTTTGAATATAGACATCATGGATTTTGCATTAGACATACAAATTTTCGATCTAATGTGAGAATTTTGTTTACACAGAGCAAATATGTTATCTTTTGTGCAAAATATATGACGGGTATATTCAAAATATTCCTGGTCTTGCAAGGAATCCAGCAATGTCAATTATATTATCCTAACTTTAGTTTGAGGTATTATTTATTACTATACCTTAAAATCTAGTGTTTTCACCCAAACATTTCTCAGCGAGGGAGGGGCCAGCGAGCGTGGGAAGAGGAAGAGGGGGGGGGGAAGAGTTGAGTCCATTATTTGAATGGACATTAACCTGGCGACTGTATTTTATACAGTATTACCTCCTTAACGCGCTTTCACTTAACGCGTTTTCGCATATACGCGGTGCCTTGCCAAAGCTGAACTTTCACTTAACGCGGATTTTTCCACAGCAACGCGGTGAGTGTCCGGCTCGAGAGCTATTTTTAGATTCGCACCACCCCCCACCCGCCACCCTGCCTGACTGCCTGTTTTAGCTCATAAAATTCATACAAATTACCCAGCCAGAATATAGTTTACATTGCTGGAATTCTTATAATTTGGTGATCATTTTGAATATAAACAACATATTTTTTGCATTAAACATACAATTTTTAGATAAAATGTTTAATCTGAGTAAGTATGTTATCTTTTGTCCAAAATATATGACATTTATATTCAAAATATTCCTGGTCTTACAAGGAATCCAGCAATGTCAATTATATTATCCTAACTTTAGTTTGAGGTATTATTTATTAAAATTTAGTGGTTATCCCACACATCTCCTTGGGACGGTTGGTGGGGGGTGGGGGGGAGGGAGGGACCAACCGACCGACCATCTGTTACCCGGTGAAGAATTATTTTTTTTTAACTGAAGATATTTGTTTTAGCTCATAAAATTCATACAAATTACCCGGTCAGAATATAATTTACATTGCTGGAATTCTTATAATTTGGTGATCATTTTGAATATAAACAACATATTTTTTGCATTAAACATACAATTTTTAGATAAAATGTTTAATCTGAGTAAGTATGTTATCTTTTGTCCAAAATATATGACATTTATATTCAAAATATTCCTGGTCTTACAAGGAATCCAGCAATGTCAATTATATTATCCTAACTTTAATCTGAGGTATTATTTAATACTAAATGTTAAAAACTCTTGAATGGAGGATTGGTGGGGGGTGGGGGGAGGGTTGGGACTGACCGCACGGTTGGAAGAGGGGGGGAGGCAAGGTGGGGTACTTTGATTGACAGATAGTGTTGAAGAATATATTTTTTTTTTTATTAACTGTAGATATTTGTTTTAGCTCATAAAATTCATACAAATTATCCGGCCAGAATATAATTTACATTGCTGGAATTCTTATAATTTGGTGATCATTTTGAATATAAACAACATATTTTTTGCATTAAACATACAATTTTTAGATAAAATGTTTAATCTGAGTAAGTATGTTATCTTTTGTGAAAAATATATGACATTTATATTCAAAATATTCCTGGTCTTACAAGGAATCCAGCAATGTCAATTATATTTTCCTAACTTTAGTTTGAGGTTATCCCACACATCTCCTTGGGACGGTTGGTGGGGGGTGGGGGGGGAGGGAGGGACCGACCGACCATCTGTTAGCTGGCTGTGTACTGTAGTGTGAGAGGGGGAGGGAGTTGAGTCCATTATTTGAATGGACATTAACTTGGCGACTGTATTTCTCTTAAGTATTAATTGTGTGCATGTACCATCATAAAATTAAGATGTTATTTTTACTACAACATAGTTATTTGTCGTCAAAAAGTGGAGTTTGGGGGTCGGGCTGGGTTCTATTGGAATTAATCCCATATGTTCTGTTATTCACTTAACGCGGTTTTCACTTAACGGACCCTCTGGGTTCAATTGACCGCGTTAAGTGGGGTACCACTATATTAATTGTGTGTGCATACAATTATAAAATTAAGATGTTATTTTTACGATAACATAGGTATTGTGTCGGTATTGTGTTGGAAAAAGTGGAGTTTGGGAGTCGGCCTAGTCTCTATTTCAATTATTCCCATATGTTCTGTTATTCCATTTACGCGTATCTAAATTTACGCGGACCTCCGCGAATTCAATTGACTGCGTAAATCGGGGTATTACTGTACATATATAAAATATACCTGTAAAGTATATACATAATATATCAGTATACAGTATCTCTTGTGCATTATGCAGAAGACCCGACAGCAGCACCCTCATCCACTACCTTATAAGATGTCCCCACACACAACGCTTCCGTGACGCCTGCTGGACCACCACTCCACGACCCCCTGACTCCCCATACTGGCCAGATATTTTGTAAATAATATTGATTATGTGTTAAAGGAATATCCTTCCTTCCTTAGGCTTTAGTAAGCCCCTTTATAATATTTATACTGTATATACTTGTCACACTTGCCAGATGCTTCTGGTGTCATTGTACAGGGGTACCTAGTGACAGCACTAGGATCCCGCTTCCTCTATCAAGGAATAAACAATTGAAATTGAATTGTAAACAGTACACAGTACATATACTGTATAAAATATACCAGTATATCAATATATAAAATATACCAGTACTCTATATATATAAAAAAAATATACCAGTATACACATTTATAAAATATACCAGTACATACATATATAAAACATACCAAAATATACATACAGTCGGCCCTTCACATAGGTGGGTTTAGCATACACGGATTCGCAAATATGCGGATTGCCCCGCCGGAGGAATATTCTGTACATTGAAGTAATTGAAGTAGAGTAGTACCCCGCTTAACGCGGTCAATAAAACCCACAGGGTACCGTGTTAAGTGAAAACCGCGCTAAGTGAACAACAGAACATATGGGATTAATTCCAATAGAAACTGGCCCGACCCCCAAACTCCACTTTTTGACGACACATAACTATGTTGTAGTAAAAATTTTATCTTAACTTTATGATGGTATGAAAAAACAAGTAATATAGAAGAGGTTAGGTTAGGAAAAATAAAGGTTAACATAGGAAAAATAAAGGTTAGGTTAGGAAAAATAAAAGTTAGGTGGAACACTTACGTTAGTAGAAGAGATGGGTCAGCGTATGGGGATGGAGGCTGGTTCCGAGGCAGAGGGCAGGCTACTGGCCCTCAGGTGAGTCACCATCACTGTCACCCACACTTGTTATGGCCTCCCTGACAAATCCCTCAAAGTCATCTTCACTGTCTCTACCTCTGTCACTATCACTGGCTTGGGCTGGCTGTGGTGGGTTGCGGGCGAAGAACTCGGTTATGCTTTTTTGACGGCTGGTGTTTATGTTGTCGTGATACACCGTGATGTACGGCTCCATAGCCTGCACCAGCCGGGTATGGAAGACTTCATAGCGGTCATCGTCATTGTCGCGGGAAAGGAAGGACTTCATTTTCTCTGCACACTCCATGGCACCCTTAATATCACTATGAGTTAAACTATGTTCTTCGGAGAATGACGCACCTTCTTCCTCCTCTTCACTGACGTGATCTTCTTCCAACATCTCGTCGGCAGTCACTTCAGGATCTCTGATCACCTCCAGGATGTCTTCGTTGGTGGTCTCGGAGAAGCCTTCAGCTGTAATATTGAGTGCAGCTTCTCTGGCAAGGTCCACTGCTACTGCAACAGTCTGAACCTCACCAGTCACAGGTTCACTCCTCCTCTCACCTGGTATGCCATGCAACACACGTCTCCATGCGTGACGAATCGTAGCAATAGACAGCAGATCCCATGCCTCCACCAAGAAGTCTACAGCTTATTTGACGTTAAACTTCTTCCAAAATTGTTTGACGAGAAGTTCTTGAGTCGCCACCTCTTGTTCCTTGTCCTCGTCGCTTTTACTCTCGCTGTCGGTGTCACCCAGCTTACGCAACTCATCCTTGGTGTTGGTAGAGTCGTTCAGGAGCTTGAACTTCTTTGCAGAGTACGCAGCTTTCACATTGCAGATCAACTCCTGGTCCATGGGCTGGATTAATGACGTCGTGTTGGGAGGAAGGAAGACCACTTTTACGTTGGGGTGACGATCCATAAGTAGGGGCGAGTGTCCAGGTGCGTTGTCAAGGAGCAACAAAATGTTGAATGGAACATTCTGTTGCTCGCATAATTTCTTCACGTCAGGAGCAAAACAGTTGTCAAACCAGAAGAGGGACAGAGATGAGGACATCCACGCCTTACGTGCGGTTAGCCAGTGGACATTAAGCTTGTTCATGTCCATATTCTTATAGGCGTGCGGCTTGCGGGCTGTGTGAATCACCGATAACTTTGGTTTACAGGTACCGGAGGCATTGGTGGTAAACAGGACGGTGATGCGTTCCTTCTGCATCTTCCGGCCCCGAATCTTGCTGGCATTCTTTACAACAAAGGTCTTGGACGGTAGCTTTTTCCAGAAAAGACCAGATTCGTCCGTGTTAAACACCTGGTCGTCGGTGTACTGTCCTTCCTCCATAATCTCACGTAAGAACGGAGGAAAATCTCTAGCCGCCACACGGTCAGCACTCGCTTCCTCACCACCAATGTTGATGTTGGTGATCTTGTTCCTCTTCTTAAACCTATGCAGCCAACCAGAGGAAGCATTGAAGGGTTTGGGCTCTGCAATTCCCAGCTTACGTGACACTGCTGCGTATAGCTCACGTGCGTACTCCTGCACTGAGCGCGTGTCCACCGCCATGT